TTATAACTGGACTGATAAGGTACGTAGGAATTTGCTCGTAATTCTTTTTCTATGAATGCCCCTATATAATGTGATTATTAACGCACTGTTTATAGCAATACATAGCTCGCGACGGCGGCCCGGCGCCGATTGGTCGGCGACTGGCGTGACGACTTAACTCCGTTTAATAGACAGCTTTGCATTTTATAACACGAGAATAATACAAGGACAACGAGTGGACTCGTCAGATTCTTGGCGGCCGTCGGTGCCCTCCTGATCACCTCCTCCCCGTGGCTGTCTTCCCTCCCTGCGCTCCTCCTCCCGTTGGCGCCTCTCTCCTCTCCCTCCTCCTCCTCTCTTCCTTTCCTCTTCATTATTAATATATATATAGCTGTATATAATAACTTTTCACATTACATACTTATACCATGCCGTTATATCACGTATAGACGTTGCCGTGGCCATTTGCGCTCCGCCTGCTCTACTCGCTGTCTCTACCGTTTTGCTATAGTATTATTATATATAACTATAGTATTATATATATATATTACTATTTCATTTATTAATATATTATACTATTACTATACTACCTACCCTCCTCCTCCCCGTCCTCCACCTCCTCTTCCCCGTCCTCTCCCTCCTCCTCCCCGTCTTCCCCCTTCTCCTCCCCTTCCTCCTCCCCGTCATCCATCCTCCTCCTTCCCGTCCGCCCCGTCCTCCCCCTCCTCCTCCCCATCATCCACCTCCTCCTCCCCGTCCTCCTCCCCCTTCTTCTCCCCGTCCTCCACCTCTTCCTCCCCGTCCTCCCCCTCCTTCTCCCTCTCCTCCTCCCCGTCTCCTTCCTCCTCCCCGTCTTCCCCCTCCTCCTCTCAGTCCTCCTCCCCGTCCTCCCCCTCCTCCTCCCCCTCCTCCTCCCCCTCCACCTACTCCCCTTCCTCCTCCTCCTCCTCCTCCTCATCCTCCTCATCATCCTCCCCGTTCCCTTCTTCCTCCCCCTCCTCCTCCCCTCCTCCTCCTCCTCATCCTCCTCATCCTCTACCTCTTTCCCCTTCTCTCCGGCTTCTTCTTCTGGTCGCTATCGTATTTACACACCAGCCCCAAAAATCATAAACACTGTCCATGTATATTGCCATAGCAACCTGTTGTTGGAAATCTTTGCCAGTCGCTGTCTCACGGTGCGTGCGAGCGTGTATGCAATGCGTGCATTCATCTGCTTATGTGCACGACGAAATGTGCACCGATGTGGTTTCGGCTGATGATTGATTACCTGACTTGCCATGCGTGAGACAGATGGGCGAAAGAGAGGAGGAGAGGGAGAGAGATAGCGAAAACAGAGGAAAGAGAAATAGAGGGAGAGAGGAAGAGAGAGACGGCGGGGTGGAGAGATAGAGGGGGAGAGAGGAAGATATAGAAAGAGAATGTGAGATAGAGAAAGAAAGTGCACGCACACACCCAGACGCGCGTGCGCACACACAAACACACGTACACGCACGCACACAGACAAGCACACGTACACGCACGCACACACACATACGCGCGCGCGCGCACAACCACAAACATACGCACGAACGCACAGACACTCACACTCTCTCATGTATATACTACGTACATGAACGCAAGCATGCACCAACACACTCGCGCGGACGCATAAATGCGCACGCACATAGAAACGCGCACGCACGCGCCAGTGAAAGTAACAGCCAGTGAAATTTCGGCTCTTTTTCAAATTCCGCTTCGCCTGTCTCTGCAGAGATTATCTATCGCCATAGCAACACGTTGCTCGATGTTTACCGCATCCTGATGTCGCAGCATCTTTCATCGCATCAACGTCTTTGTTGTCGGCGGCTTCTATCTCGCAGCAGCGACGTATCCGTGACGACGCTAGCGGCGCGTGGCGGCGGAAACCGCCGCGGCATGCAGCCGACGTTATTCTTGCAGTCTCGGTAGTCGGCAGGGCAGACGAATAGAACGAAGAATCGACGGTAAAAAATGCCCGTCGTCAAACCTCGGCGACCCGTCGGCAAGATCAGCAAAAGTCGACTGAAGTCGGCAAAGTTCGGCTAACGTCGGCAAAATTCGGCTAAAGTCGGCGCGCGTCGGCAATCGTCGGATGACGTCGTTAAGGGTCGGCGAACGCCTGCTGCGAGTGTCGGTAAGTGTCGACGAGTGGCGAGATAAGACCGTGTAGTGAGTGCTCGCAGCAGGGCTGAACAGGCGTTAGCGTGCTTTGCTAGCCGCGATGCCTCATCTTCCCTCCCTTTACACCTTCATCCCGGCAGCATGCGGCTTGCTCATAATACCTGCATACAGCCGGGAATCATACATTATGTAGGACCTGTATGCTGAGAGAGCGGGGGAGGGGGAAAGAACGAGAGCGAGAGAAGGAAAGAGAGGATGAGAAAGAGAGGGAGAGCGAGAGAGAGAGAGACAAAAAAGGAAGAGCGCGCGCGCGAAAGCAGAGAAAAGATGATGATATAGTAGATAGATAGATACATACATACATACATACATACATACATACATACATACATACATACTAATACATAATACATAAGTACATACATATCATAGCATAATCATAGCAGTACATACATACATACATACATCTACATACATACATACATACAACAGCAACATACATAGCATACTACCATACATACATAACATACATACATACCATACATACATTACATCCATACAAATTACAACATACATACTATCATACATACATAACATACATACATACATACAACATACATACATGCATCATGCATGCATGCCTCGCATGCAATGGCAGCATACATACATATAGACCTACGTAAGTACGTACGTACGTACGCACGACAGCCCGCACACGCCACGCACGCATCGCACGCACGCACGCACGCACGGCACGCACGCACGTATCGCACGCACGCACGCACGCACCCACGCACCCACCCGCACGCACGCACCCACCCACGCACGCACGCACGCACAACCACACACACACACACAACACACAATACATACATGGTCGTGCGTTCAAACACGCCCAGTTCAGCATCGCTCGCTGCTGTTGTTGCTCTCTGTTGCTTTTTTTTTAAAACTTGCTGCTGTGCGTGCGTTCTGTTCGTTGCGAATCAGCATTTGTGCGTGTAAGCGTGTTCATGCGTGCGTGCTCCGTGGTGCGTGTCGTGCGCTGCTGTTGCTCGTGCCGTGCGGGCTCATGCGGGCGTGCTCATGCCTTGCGTGCTCATTGGTGCGTGCTCGTGCTTGCGTGCCTCATGCTTGCCGTGTTATGCGTGCCACGTCGTGCTCATGTATGCGTGCTCATCGTGCCAACCGGGACGTGCTCGTGCGTGCAGTGCTCGTGAGTGACGTGCTCGTGCGTGCGTGGCTCGTGCCGTGCGGGGGTCTTCGTGCGTGCGTTGCTCTGTGGCGTGCGTGCTCGTGCGTGCGTCTCGTGCGGCGTGCTGCTGCGTGCCTTGCTCGTCGGTGCGTGTCGGGCTGCTTATGCGCGTGCGCTGCCTGGCTCATGCGTGCGTGCTCATGCTGTGCGTGCTCGTGCGTGCGCTGCATCAATGCGTGCGTGCTCGTGCGTACGCGCTGCTCATGGGTCCGTGCTCGTGCGTGCGTGCATCGGTGCTGCGTGCTCATGCGTCCGTGCTCGTGCGTCGGTGCTCGTGCGTGCTGCCTCCGTGCGTGCCGTGTTCGTGCGTGCGTCGGCTCAGTGGCCGTGCGTGCTCGTGACTTGCGGTGAACGCTGCGTGCGTGCCGTACGCTGCCGATGCTCGTTGCGTGACGCTGCTCTGTGCCGTGCTGTGCCGTGCCCTCGTGCGTGCGTGCGTTCTCGTGCGTGCGTGGCTGCTCGTGCTCGCTACGTGCGTGATCGACCTGGTGCTTCCGTGGCG